GCCCTTTGTGGATGATGGATATTTGCCAACTCATACAGAGCTCTGGAAATTGGAAATGAATAGCAGAGACGTGTTCAATAACCAATTCAAATTGTATTCATACGTCAGTTATATTTATACCCCATTTTCATAGCAGGATGGGAGGGGGAAAAATGAGCATATGGGCGTGACATTGACATTGGTTTTCACAAGTTATAAACAGTTGTTTCTTATTATAATTCTACGTTATATAACACATGTATATTTGATCAAAACAAGATATTTACAAATACCTTAATCTTGGACAATTAACAAGAACATTTGGAAATCAGTATGGTCATTCTCATAAATGATATTAGATAAATTCTTCCCAGAATCGAAGATACAATTCCAAATTTATTCTTGGTTCAAATTAACCCTTATATGAACAGCTAGGATATTAAGCAAAATGGATATTCATATCCTACAATTCCTCTCTTTAGATCATATCGTGATCTACCTTACGGAATATCCATGGGAGGCCTGCGGCAGAGAAATGAAAGGAGGTATATTCAGACGTGCTAATCACGTCTGCGGGACTTTCATTATTTCTTCACCTCGATTTCCCCCATTTGCTCTGTGCCGTAGGTTTTCCCTTTAAGAGGAGATCGAGCTGTCGATTTTCAGCTTCTGTAATCATCTGTTGTACACATCTTTTAAGTGTACAAGTTAAATATTTCAAACAGCTGACATGTTAACCAATTTTAAACATACTGCACATCATGTTATCTGTAACTTGAGCCTTGGATCAAAACAGGCAAAGTGTATTATTCCCAACAACAGGAATATTATTATTATAATTCACAACGTAAACACATATAATCAAAAATGGGAATAAAATCTATTTCCCCTCTTTGGACCAGGGTCTTGGATTACCAGTCCACCCAGTGAACTTGGGCCAGGTCAAAAAACCCAGTGGCAAAAACTCATAATTGAGGAAAAAAGCACATCTGGGGAAACTCTAAGTGAGGGCCATGACTGTGTAGACATGTCATCCCCTCACGTTGACAGCATTAGTGACTTATAAAACCTGCACTATGTAAGTAAATAGCTCGGGTATCGGGATTGGGAAACACTTCTTGATGAGTTTGAAAAGGCCCACTTACATATTAAATCATGAGATCATTTCTAATCAGTTTGCAATTCTAGCAATAATCCCAATCATGACCTTGCATCCTATGCTTCCTAATCAAATCCCTATTTCGATGGTCCAGTCATATCCACACTTAATACATGGGAATCCATCCTTGGTACATTCAACATACATCAATGACACACATAGTACATTCATGCCTGAGCAAGCTAACACTTCCTCTCTCTCCGTCTAACTCTACAAAAATAAAAATAACAAAATAGTTCAATAGTCCAGCATAGTCCAGAAAAATATTATAAGTCTTTCAAGGAGTATAAAGAATCTTAGACACCATACACTTTGTTCCATAATCTTTATGATCCATTGAATTTGTCCTTTATAAAATTTTAATACATCATTTCCCTTTAGAATGCCTTTGTATGGATGAGAGAAGCACTCATTCTATATAAATGCTTGTTGAGTACTAAAACACTAACATATACATATTGGTATAATTCCCAATAAAATGCTGTTCTTAAATTTAAACCTTGATTTGATAATCTCAATTAATTACTTTAATAAAATTGGAATGCTGAAGTCTGTCAGAAATTTTGTGGACCCTGATAACATCTTTGGAAACCGAAACCTTTTATAGATCCCGATGTCCAAAAAGCCACCAGTTCTGTATGTGTGTGATCATGTTTTAATACATGGTGGAACCTCCATACAGTTATCCCACTTAAACAATATTTTTTACAGACAACTAGAGAAACAAAATGAATTACTATTGTTCTAAAGTGCTTTGTTTATTACAGGTTTCGGAAGAGTTTTCTTGCTGTGTTGCAAGTGGCCTCCGATAAGGAAGGGACAGCAAACTGTAGACATATGTTATATTAAGTTTCCCTCACTTGTCAGGTCTTGGAAACCCACTTATTTTATTGCAGATGCCTCTAGGATACCACGTTACAAATTGACTAAGCATAAGGGCCCGGGCTGATTTTATCCCCAACAGTTATAGAGCGCTGGAGAGAGCGTACTGCTCAAGGAGTGCAGGTTATACAGAGCCGGAGAGAGTGTACTGCTCAGGGATTGCAGGTTATACAGAGCCGGAGAGAGCGTACTGCTCAGGGAGTGCAGGTTATACAGAGCCGGAGAGAGTGTACTGCTCAGGGATTGCAGGTTATACAGAGCCGGAGAGAGCGTACTGCTCAGGGATTGCAGGTTATAGAAAGCTGGAGAGAGCGTACTGCTCAAGGAGTGCAGGTTATACAGAGCTGGAGAGAGTGTACTGCTCAGGGATTGCAGGTTATACAGAGCCGGAGAGAGCGTACTGCTCAGGGATTGCAGGTTATACAGAGCCGGAGAGAGCGTACTGCTCAGGGATTGCAGGTTATAGAAAGCTGGAGAGAGTGTACTGCTCAGGGATTGCAGGTTATACAGAGCCGGAGAGAGCGTACTGCTCAGGGATTGCAGGTTATACAGAGCCGGAGAGCGTGCTGCTCAGGGAGTGCAGGTTATACAGAGCGGAAGGCGTACTGCAGGGATTGGTGGAGTTGCTCAGGGATTACAGGGCAGAGCGTACTCTCTCAGGTTATACAGGAAGGCGTACTGCTCAGGGATTGCAGGTTATACAGAGCGGCGTACTATGCTCAGGAAGTGTGGGTTATACAGAGCTGGAGGAGTGCAGGTTATAGAAAGCTGGAGAGAGCCTGGGGGTGGGCAGAAGAATACAAAGGGCCTTGGGGGGAGACACAAAGACGGACTATATGTGAAAGAGACACACAGAGGGGCTGGTGAAGGGGGAAGAAGACACACACGAAGAAGCTGGTTAGAGTAAAAGGGGCTGGGGGGAGTAAGACTTACAAAATGTGGGATGTAAGAGTCATACAAAGAGGGGGGATATGAGATACACAAGGGGGGTTGTAAGAGATACCGTATTTTTCGCTCCATAAGACGCACTTTTTTCCCCCTCAAAAGTGAGGGGAAATGTCTGTGCGTCTTATGGAGCGAATGTGAAGATTTACTTACCTGTCTTGGAGCGTGGGCCGGCTTCACAGCGCGCTCCGCGGTCCAGGAACTTCTATTTCAGGTTCCGGTTTCCGGCGGGACTGAAATGAAGTGCACACTCGGTGACATTGCTATGTGATTTAATTTGTGGAAATTGCAGGAGATATTTCTCCCGTTATGCTTTCATTGAATGACATATTTGAATGTGTGTTAGTTCCATGTGGGAACATTTGCATAGTGACTGAGAATATGTCATACGTTCTTTAAATCACCTACATATAGAACGCTCATTTCCATATTCACTTCTCACTCCACACGCATTTGCAAGTTTATTTTTAAAACACTTTTTGTAGCTTTTATGCATAGATCCCCAACTCATTCAACTCCTCCCAACTCATCTCCCTCTCTTTAGTAATTAGACCTCAGCCTGAGTCAGACGCTTCCTTCTGTATGCGTCCTTTACATGCTGATTAATTCTATATACATCCATCAGACAGCTCCCCTGCACTCAGGGCTGGATTAACATAGGGGCAAAGGGAGCTGAAGCTGCATGCCCATGGAATAGGTCTACAAAACCCCCCCCAAAAAACACATTATTGCATAGGGAGTTAAGTATGGGAACCTAAGAGGGTGGGGCGGACTATAAATGAGTTACAGTAAAGCTGACTTTGCGCACTATGTAAATGCTCTTGCTGCTTCAGTCTCTCTAACACTGTGGCATGTTCCCTTTCTTCTACACTCACAACATACAGCTTTTCTCTGTCCCAGACTTCATTGCGGGGGCTTTTGCCTGCTAGTAAGAAGGGAAGGAGAGGACTGGTCTGTCCCCAGAAAGCGAAGAGCGAGCTCATCATTAGACATGCTGGCACCAAGCTCAGGTTGCTGCCTGCATAATATGCCCTTAGTTGGCCAGCTGACATGCAGTCACACCAGGCTGACCGTCCAATTCTTCAGGCAGACCTGCCATTTGGGCAGTGCCAGCTACGTGATTGGTATCACTGGCCCACCAACAGCTTTTCAGGACTCCGATGTTAGGGCATATGGGTTTGGTTGAGGGATGACAGTGAGATTAGCATATGTTTTCTTATGGCTGCATCCTGTCTCCCTCCAACACCATCTCCACCAGATACATGATGTGGTGGCCACCCAGATAGGGATATGGGTGTCAAGGATGTCCTTTTTCCTTCTCTGGAACTCTGCTGCACCAGATTCAGTGATTATAGCTGCCAGGTGATTAAAACTCTGGAGTGATTAAAGCTTTCCCCTACAGACATTAGCCGAGACTTAATGCTGGGAGTGAACTGGTTTAATGGAACATGGTACAGACAATTTATACACATGTATGTACGTAGTGGGGAATTGCGATGCAGCCTAGAACAAATCTAAACCCATTCACCCCCCCAATAACGACAGACTTGGTGTGGATGAAACAGGCCACAGCATTTATTATCACAAACTAAATTACTGCATAACACATCCATAACTTTATTTATTAAATCTCTTCTTTCTGTAACCAAAACGTTAGACATAAATAAGCATAAATTAACATATATACATATATAACTCCACCCATAGTGTTATACAGTGACCCAACCGTCCTTGCCAATAAACATACAGTGGTTCCTAATCACCAATTCCTCTCACCTCCCCCCTCGTCATAAAATCATATCTTTCCAATGCCCACCATCAGCCGACCTTATCCACCCTCGATGGGCACGACACCTCAGGCAACCTAATGTTAACTGTTTGAAGCAGGGGAGGTTGAGACCTTAAAAACTTGTTCATCTCATTCCATATACTTAAACGTAACCACTCAAACTCAATTGGCAAGGACATACCCCCGCCATAACCCCACTGTTTTACACCTAAAATCAGCAGGGGGACCCCACCATAACCAGCCATGGCCTGTTCCACCACTTCTTACAGCGCTAGATTAACATAGGCCTATTCCGACCTCCAGCAAGCGCACCCATCCCCTCGAGATAACTAGGCCACATCCGGCCAAACCCTAAGGCGAACTGGAATCCCCCAAGACAAACCCAGAAAACCATCTCGTCAGAATTTTGACGGCAGGGCACTCACATTGCTGAGCGCACTGCCGACAGGAACGGGCAATAGCCTCAGCCTAGCCCCTGAGAACCTCTGGGAAGAAAACAGAATGCGCAACATGTCCAGATTAAAGAGCACCCAATACCCAAAACATCACCGAACCCATGTCATTCCACCCAGAGATGACAAAACCCCTGGTACCACCATGAGGCGGGACAGCTGACCCCGTACTGAACCGCCACTCCCGAAGGCGTAAGCTACAACCACCCGCCCCCGCCTCCTGGCCCAAATTACATACGAGCATCCCACCATCCCCATTCCGGGGGGTGGGGAGGTACCGTAACCGCAGAGAGAAATCCTTTCAGAGACCAGCAGGGTGAACCTGAGGAACCCACCACCCTAACTCCCACCATTTAAGCCCTCTGAACCATTGGCGCAGACACACCAAGCCTGGCGGCGTCCGTAGCCATCCCCAACCAGAATAAATGCCCCTTGAACTCCCCACCATCCTTATGCAGGAATTCGAGCCCCAAGCGGAACACCCGAACTAAATGGACGCAGGAGAGAACCCATCTCCAGGAACCAAACAAGAGTGAGGATGCCGGATAATCCAGGGGAAGGAATAGCACTCCCGATGAAAAACAGGCAAATGACGGAACCTTGCACCGCCCCCGATCAGAACGGTATATTTCAGACTATCCTGGGAACCCACTACATCATCTTCGGAGCCCAACCATTATCCCGCATAACGGCAGCAGCCGGAAAACGGATTCCACAGCCGCCTTCATCAGCAAGGCCTCGCAGCCCCACCCACGCAGACCGCTGCGCCGAGTCACCATCCCAAACCTAGCCCCTGGAAGGAAACGACAACTGAGTAAATAAGGAATCTCCTCCATGGGCACCATATCCCGAAGGGGGGAACCACAGAGCGGACTTCAGGGGCACCCTAAACGATCGGAAAGTAAGCTTATCAAGCGTTCTTGGTAAACTGGACCCACACCTCCCGATGGAGCTCTCACATGGACTGAGGATTCTGCACCGAGAGCACCCATGTAACGGACCGTTTTGCCCACAAGCAGTTAAAAACCGTTTAGGCGATCTTCCCCTTTTAGATGCACAGACAGCTACTGCAGTCACCACTCTCCCGAACTGCAAACACACGAATACTGGAAACAGCCGAATAGGAAAAACCATGCAAATAGGTTTACACTCCTAGCAGTCAAACTGGAACAGCATACAATAAATCCTTCCCCAATAATGAGACGACACTTCACTTTGAGGGTTAAGCAGGAACTCACTTGTAATGGCCACACACTGGCTTTTATGCAAGTCCCCATGCAAGGGGACATCCCACAGGGTGGGACACAGTACAACCAATCGTTTACAGGAGAACCATAAAACACACCCACATTTACATCACAATCCCTCCTCTCTGTCCTGGAGATAATTGTGAAGTAATCCAATTATCTCCCAGGACAGAGGCAAGACTCCATTAACCACATGGCAGTAACAATACAATCTCGCGCCGGACGCTGCGGGAAAGCGTACTTAAACATATGATACATACTGAAAACGGAGGGGGGGTACCCAAATTTTGTTTTTATTTTAGATTCCTTTTTTTTATTCTTCCCCTTGCACTTGACATTGGATTCCTTTTTTTTTTTCATTGGGTAATTTACATTTTATTTCTGTCCTGTAATTTTCTCTCCGTTTGTATTTTTTTTTTTTAATGCTTTATTTATTTATTTATTTTTTGTGCTAAGAGGACTAGACTAAATAAAAGAAGAAAGAACGTACACATGCGAAGCGCTAAAAAAGAAGGGGGGGAAGTGTACTCACTGGTTGAAACCTGGCGATCCAAGCACGGCACTCCGCTCACAGAAGGCTAAGGCAAAGAAACAGCAGTTCCAGCATCCACAGAAGACATCAACTGTGATCCAGGCGCCACCTGCTGGACGGGTCCATGAACTGCGGAAATATCCTGAGCCCACGCCCCAGAGGAGATGGCCGAGGTAAGTGACCTTCAGGGGGGCGGAGGGTTCAGGCAAGGTGGGGAGAACAGAGGGGATGCAGATAGGGAGGGATAGAGGGGGGGGAATTAGAGCAGGAGGGGGGAGAGAGGGGATGCAGGCCCTCCAGAGAGGGGGGGGAGGGGGAAGAAAAAACTGGGCAAGAGGAGGGGGGACCAGGGGCCCAGGCAAGCTGGGCCCCCTGGAAGAGAAAAGAAAAAGAAGAAAAAACATTACTAATAGGGGAAAGAGAGAGGGAAGCGGAGGCAAAGCCCTGGGAGCCTTCCTCACGGGCAGAGGAGGCTCCCGACAGGCAAGGGGAACCCCCCAGGCCCCCACGGTGGTACTAAGGTACCCCATGCGGCCTGCAAGGGCCTATTTACCTCCCCGCCAGCCGCGGGGACCTGGACTGTTGCCGGGCGGCCACCCGAATAGCTGTATCCGCCGCCCACCGCCCCCGGCCCGCAATCCAGCGCTGGCGGCCAGGGCGGATGGGGATCCATGCGTAGGCCTCGCGGCGGTACCAGGCCAGGCGGAAATGGAGGCGGCAGGCCTCGTGGCAGAAGGTGGTGCCTTGGGCCTGGGCTCCTGCTCCTCAACTGGGCCCGAGGAGTAGGATCCAGAGACAGCCTGGTAGGTGGGCGGAAACGCGTGCCAGTGCTGGAGCGGCCCCCAGGGGCAGGGACCGCATGGGAGGCAGCAGGGGAGACCACATAGGGTGCTCCAGGGGAAGGTAGGCCGCGAGGGGTGCCTTCACCAGTAGCCATACCTCCAGTAATGTTTGTAAATTGCTCCCTCAGTTGCCGGCCACCATCCAGCGCAGCAGCAGCCCTCAGTGTAGCGGATGGCATGTGACTGTCCGCCAGAATTATATTTTAAAAGCCTGTTCGCATGTTTAAACTGCCTGTACATTGAAAATTGCATAGACATTCGTATGTTAGTTTGGTAGTTTCCTTCATAGTTTATACGAATGAAAACTACCGAATACATAGACCACCTTAGAGAAGAAGTGTGTCCCTAGTTAAACCCTTATTCCCTTTCTAACCGCAGTTAATTAGTGTTATATTGCTGTATCTGGGTGACCGCCATTCGGTAGACGAACACGCGGCGGCGGCCATCTTACGCACGAACTCTCAGGGGTGTTTGGTCGTCAAGTGTCTGGAACTCAAATCGGACACTCAATTGCGCGAACACCGCTGAGACCTCCAGAGCTCCAGAACTCACGAATGGAGGGGCTAATCGACTCTGCGTTCGGTGAGTTCAATATACCAATCAAGGGGGTTCGTGCGAACCCAGTATTATCTATGGATGGCAATGATTTTTACCTGTTTTACCTCCCGAACGTAGACCGACCGCAGGGCCAAAATACATGGAACTCCTTTTTACATAGTCGTGTGCGGTCGGTCAAATCGTTTATTCCCTATAACTCCCGAACCCCTGGTATGATCTGGGTGAATTTGGAGTATGTTGGTCACCCAGACCAGGGTTACCAGGGGATGCCACTTAAGTCCTGGTACCCCACAGTTTTGGGGTACATCCAAGAAACAGGGGAAAAGGTACCAGGATTAAGTGGATTAAGTGTCACACTGAGGGGAGGGAAAGTAGGGGAGGGAACCTCTGTATTATTGGTTACTGTTATAATTACTGGAAATCCCTCCCTTGCATGGGAGAATCCTTTATAAGGAACTGCTGTGAATAAACGTTTAGTTCTGCTCCTGATGCTGTGTGTCGTCCAGTCATTGGGATTGCGATTGGGATATTGTTGGAGTCTTTTTGCCTGCTGGGATTATCATTCTGTGGATTTATTATACTTGTTCCTGAGCCTTACTGGGATCAAAGTGTGTAATACCAGCTCTCCGCTACACTCAGGGACACCAGGATTGCCTCAATATCCATCACCTCAAGCTGTGTAAATTTGCAGGCCCAGGCAAACAGGAGCAGGAGGACAGGAAGTTGTTTGCTGGCCCGAATCCCAAGTGGCACTGAGGTAAGACCTCCTCCACACTAACCTACACTCTTCCCCAACCAATCCCATGCATTTATCCCCACACTCCAACATGTGCCCTTGTCCGCTTAGCTGCGCTATCTCCCCAGGGACTGACCCCCAGCTCAGATCCCATGTATGGACGTAGCGGGGAATGTGACGCAAATAAGAATAACAGAGCCTGTGACGGACCACCTGGGTGCCTCCGTCAAACGTTGCTTCCTAGTGTCAGGAATAGCTGATGTCAAACAAGCAGAAGTCAAAATAAAGGAAAATCCTTAAACTTATTACTGGGCTTTAGAATGGCCAGAAAAAAACACAAAACAGGGAAAAGCTGTAGCGGAACGCCAATATTAAATCCACCAATTCCGCTGGTTCAGGAAATAATCCACAGTCAAGCGCTGGAAAAAGCAAGGCAATATCCCAAATCTCCCAGTAACCAGACAAAACACAGTTCTGAGAGTCAACTGAGGTCTTTATTTTCAGCTCCACAATTTATACAAGTCCCCATGCAAGGGGTTTCCTGAGTCCCCTCCCAGGGACATTCCCAGAGGGGACTACATGGGGGACTTACAATACAGAGCATTTCTCCCATCATGCACTGCTGCACGAGAGGGATCCTCCCACAGGAATGTACCGTTAAGTGATTTATCCCTCCGTGCAGCAAAACCGACAATTTATATTAAAATCCATAACTTTTCGAATATGCAGTCTATTTGCCCGAATGGACGTTCGGTAGATAGTTGGGGTCTGAGCGCATCATTCGTGAGATTACCGCTCAGATCCCAGCTAAAACAACCGAACACCGCACGAAAAACACATTTATTAAAATACATGTTGTATTAAAATACATAAACTGACCAATTGCCTTCCAGGCTCAGCGGTGTTCGTGCCGTCGAGTAGCCGTTTTTAGTACCATGCGCTCGACGACATAACACCGCTGAGGGAACAAAGGATCCAAGATGGCCGACCGCCGCATGGTCGGTAGTCGAACGGCGGCCACCTAGGAGAGCCTCTAATTACCGATTGCAACATTGTTGCAATCGGTTAATAAGCGTCACACGCCTCTAAGTGTGTGGGCTATTACA